TTCAGTTACGTTCTAAATATACAATAGAAATATTTTACAGATTGCTGATACTTCATCAAGGTAAAAAGCCATATATCGATTTGATATATAAAGACCGCTGAGCGAAGCTTGATAAGATCATGCACAGCTGTCCTATCTGATGTTGTACTTATCTGATGTTGTACAATATACGAGTAGGGGCTGATACATTTGTTTTGAAAGGAAATCTCAACTTACCGTGTAAAACTGGAAGTTTGATGTGTTCCTATCCCATTTCCAAAGGTGCGAGCTACCTTCTGATGTAGTACTGACCAAGAAAGCTAAGAACATGATAAAAACATACATTACAATCTGCTGTCACGTTGAATATCTTTGTAAATTCTGATTCCAGGGGCGTATCCAGTCCCACACAAATGGGCGGGGGGGGGGGGTGACAACCACAGATTTGGTATATTTTATGTCATAGATGACAGCATTAAGAGGTTACTCCGGCCCCCTCCCCAGCTTCTCCTCAGTTTTAAAAGAATTACAAAATTGGTGCTGAAGAAAGTGGGGGAGGGAGGTCCGGACCCTTCATTTCTCCCGTAGCTACGACCTCACTGATTCGTACAAAATGACTGCTTAAATGTGCTTTATTGTTTATGATACACAATCAAAACACACCTTCGTTGTTCAGTAAGAACTCTTTCACAGATTTCGCATTAGTGATGGGCACATCTTGATGCAAGACGAACGTCCCAGCATTCCATTTATACAGACCAGGGGACGAACGAGAGTTCACAAACAGCAGAATATGATCTCCATCTAACATGAAGTATTCTACCCCAGTAGCGCCATTCGTAGTGATTTCTGACAGAAGTACAAACTGATCATTCCTCCATTCAAAAGTGACAGATTTGCTTTGGTAGTTGCGGTTAACACTGTCATAGTAGCTAGAGATCGCGAGGAAGTTACGATTATTTACTCTGAATAAGGCAAGGCCTGAAGCTCCCCGGCAGTTTAGGCCTGGTCCGTGCTCCACAAAACGACCATTAACCCATTTGTAAACCTACAAAACGTTATATTAAAAAATACAATAAATCCCATAGAAACGAATGCAATAGAATACAATAAGACACAAAACAATCCAATCCAATTAATGCAAGGCAATCAAATGCAACACAACACAACACAACACCACACAACACAACACAACACAACACAACACAACACAACACGACATGACACAACATGACACAACACAGCACAACACAACGCTACAACACAACACAACACAACACAACACAACACAACACAACACAACACAACACAACACAACACAACACAATAATAAAATACACCCACCTTCGAGAGCACAGCAGTATTACCAGAATTGTCCTTCATGTTCGCAAAGATTAGATACGAATCACCACTCCCCTGAGGTCTAAAGAACTTCACATCCGACCCTCCTTGAGTGGAAATATCCTGAAAATGCAACACTGTTCCATTTTCAAACATCCGGTATATTGTCGAGTCAACTTCATGGTTGTTCTCGGAGCCATGATTTGCTACAGCAATGTAGTACTGGCCGTTGATGTCGAATGATTCGAACTGAACTGGATTGTTGGTTGTGATGTTCTAAATTAAAAGGAAATAAAAGATTGGCAATGTCAGAAAGTTCATCCTGATATCCTTCGGATAAATCGATAAAGGTACTTGAGCTAGGGAGTTGAGTTCAACTTCATACACAGGGCTGGAAAAAGTATCAGACCACGGGATTGGTCCCAGAAAATGTTTTGAGTTCCCAGAAAATATTTCCCCAAGAAAGAAAAATTGTAATAATTTAGATAAAAGGAGAAATTTAGAAGAAAATTCACACCATGATCTCAGAAATGCTTATTATAAGTGCATCCATCTTAATAGTGCGATGGTGTGTTAATGCATGGACTATGGAATGATGTAACAAATGTTGTATAGCAAATGCATTTTTAGCCGATCTGCGACACGTGATTTTCAAAATTTTCTGGGGGAGTATGGATCTCCCTGATAGTGTCCCCTATGTTATCTAAATTAGTTTTACGTTATATTTTAATGTGAAATATTTTTTCCTGTAAAATATAGCATGACACCAGTTCTACAATTTGTTCGTCTCACACAGTTACGATGTCCAAGACTCCAAGTGTTGATTTACTTGATTATTTACAGGATATTTTCAATGTTCACCCATGTTCATATATCAAAATAGATATCATAAGAAATACATGTAAGTTAGACATACCGTAATATGGGTATACACTCCTTGCCAATAAAACAAACCCGAGCCAATGTTCACGTCATCGTTTCTTAGGGAACCATTGCTAGCACCAAGCAATAAATACTGTTTACCATACGCCGAGAACGAATACCATGTTTGAGCATTTTGTGTCTGAAAACTTTGAAACACTCCGAACCTCATGAGCGGCCCCACAGAACTGTCAGCTGTTTGAGAAATTGTGTGGTAATTTACAGTGATTGTACCATAAGTTCCTTTACGACGAAGAACTTTGATTTCAGCATAACCGATTGTCTCTTCGATATTCAATGTTTGAGGGGGCAAGGCAAAGTCAAGTTCTCCATAAGGTTCATCATTTTCACTGAAAGTCAGCCATGCTTGACTGGGCGATGTCAAGTCACCACCACCTAGAGAATAAGTATAGGTTATCATATGAGGGGCGAGGCGATTATCGCTTGAGGACGATATCGTAAATATCACGAGTGAGCGCTGCGAACGAGGGATTTTTATCGTCCGGAAAACGATAAAACTGATAAAATTATTTATCATGGTTGTGTCACTTCATGTGAACTTACAATGGATTTATTTGTTCTCTCTAGAGGTACGATAAAGGGACTTCCCTTATTTGTCTAGTGTCACTAGTGGAGGAAACCAAAACTTTTCTTGTACAGTGAGCTGCTCTGTTCTAAACTGATCTGTCTGAATGTCCAGTAAGGACTATCTCCTATTCCCTAAAAGGTCCAGTGTTACCACAGAAGGAAACCTAAACTAAAATAACTGTATTTATACTGGATAGCTCTATCTGTTTTACCTATAGAGGTCTGACAAAAGCTATCCCTTATAGGTCCAGTTAGTACAGGATGAAATGGTGGTATACAGAGAAAACCAGCAGGCTTACTCTTCTCACATGTGACTACGGTGGAATTACAATCAGAGAACTTCTTAATGCAGGAATAAAACCCTATCACAGATTTGAAAGACACATGCACTAACAACTAACACCCTTGGTACAGCATAAACAACGTTAATGCCTTACCTCTCAGAACAGACAAAACAATCAAAAACCGTTCCTCCTTTTCAGGAACAGTGTCGACCACTGTTTCAACAATGAATGACCTCCTTTGCTCACCATCTTTAAACAACACTGTACCATTCAGAGACTTGAAATCCAAACTCGCGGTGACATTTGCAATTCTCCACCCTAAAACCACCTCACCAATGGTACCATTCTCACGCACTACTGTAAAACTCGCTCGAGTGGTACCAACATGTCGACTACCCGGTTCATCAATTGTCATACCTAGAGATCCATCACTGAACCTGAATATCCCGTTGCCTGCATCGTTTACAAGTACAGTGACGTAAGCGATATAGTCCAGTCCCAAAAGTGCTCCACCGCGCGGTGACTTCAAGCGAACCTCAAACTGTTCGTTGGCTTCGGGTATTACATCATTGTGAATAAAGATTGTAATATTTTGTCTTCGTTCTCCAACGTAGAATTTCAGAGTTCCTTCGCCGCCCATTTGAAGGTTGCCGTAGAGTCTAAAGTCACTTTCTTCGATATTAATTCGTCTGATGTAGTAGTTTACTTCTATATCACCAAACGTTCCTTGCGTTCGTAACACTGTCAAGTTGAATGATGCGATATCCTCCGGTACGTTTACTCTGAAGACAAAACGAAATTATAATCAACAGGGGCCGGTTGTTCAAAGGTGGGTTAGCGCTAACCCTGGGTTAAAATTAAACCTGCTGTTTTAGTTTGTGTATTTCTGGACGACAAGATCTCTGAAGAAATATTTCCAAATTTATAGACAAGCTGTCAGGAAGTTTGCTTTGAATTTTAGGTTAACCCATGCAGGGCTAAGCTAACCCAGCTTTGAACAACCGCCCCCAGCTTTGCAAGGATAACTTTATCCACAATGGACAGCCAAATAATTTATCCACAATGGACAGCCAAATTAGCTCAAAATTGTTCTTCCTATAGAGGTCAAGTATAAAGTATAAGAACCGTTCAACCATTCCTGGCTGGACCAGTGTTTCTACGGCAGAAGATCGGTATTCTCGAGCCGTATTTGTACTACATTATGGTAGTCTAAAACACTCTTTGGCGTAACCTAAGCCTGACCTAGGTCAGAAAATTTGGACAATGGTGTTCAATGAAATGGTGACTTTGTTTTATTTCCCACGCAGTATTACATATGATGATAAGATTTAACATTATTCTCTCACTGTGGTAATTGTTGGTTCATTTGACAGGGTTCGTAGACTCCAAGACCAAAAAATTTCAAGGACTTTCAAAGATTTTTTCTGCCTATTGTCAAAGACTTTTCAAAGACCTTTGAGAACAATCAGGTGTCGAAAAATTGCGATGTATAAGCACCATTTTTACCAGGTAATTAGTCCCGTCAAATCACATCCTAAAATGCACTTTTTCGTCGATATTTGCGAAATTCTTGCTTCAATCAATCTATTTTATTAGCTAGGAAATCGTATAATCAAATAATCACTAAAGAATTTAAAGACTTTTAAAGACTTTCTTCGCTTTTTGACACACTTCAAAAACTTTTCAAAGACCTTAAAGACCTGCATTCAAATTTAAAGACTTTCAAGGATTTCAAAGACCGCTACGAACCCTGATTTGACCATCTGGGCCCGGTTGTTCGGAACCAGATTAGCTTAATCCTAGGGCCTAGGTTAACCTAAAATTCAAAGCAAACGTCCCAACAGCTTGTTTATAAATTTGGAAATATTTCTTCAGAAATATTGTTTGTATCAGTTGGAGTTTTCTTCTCTGAAGTTTTGAAATAAAGAGACGTGCAGAAATACATAAACTAAAACAGCAGATTAAATTTTAACCCAGGGTTAGCGCTAATCCACCTTTGAACAACCGGCCCCAGTTGTCTTGTAAAGGCCGATTTTACACTACACAACTTTTTCCTAAAACTGTCGCATGCAACCTGCTTACAACTTGAGTTAATAATAATAAACTTTATTTGATGAGGGTAAATATACATTTTTACCTATGAAGGTATTCTACAAAATGGCCCTCTAAAAATTAGATAACCTACAGTATTTACAATATATACAAAGAAGCAAGACTATAGTTGCATTTGACACAGCACATGGGACTATACAACTTATAGTACCAAATACGAAAATAACTGTATTACTAAGCATGCATAATGTTGTTGTTTTTTTTAGTTTTGACAATATAAGTTATTAAAAATTAAAAGAAAATTCAGTGCGAGTAACAAATGCACTTAACTAGGTTTTTGCAAGAAAAGACACGAAAATTGTTCACGATGGTCAACCTCATGATTAAGATTAGAGAAAAACCTCTTAAATTTATGCTTATACGCAGACGGGGAATAATCGTTAAACACTTTCAGGTCATTTGGTAAAGAGTTGAAAAGTAAACCACGACTGTATGAGAGTTTGGTCTTGGAAAGATTAGATTTGACAGATGGTATTTTGAGATCAGTAACAGAGAAGCGAGTATGTACATCGTGCGATGCCCCAGAGAAACAAAACAACTCGCGCAGATCACTAGGAGATGAGCTGCGCAAGGTGCTTACAACGAGTAAAATTTTTCGCATCTTAATTAAGTTGTAGATGGGAATCCATTCCAGTTTGCGGAACAGATCAACAGAAGGCGTTGACATACTCTCGTCCAAAGCCAATCTGGCTGCTCTTTTTTGAAGTTTAAGCAAAGGGTCGATAAGCTCATGGCGTGCATTGCCCCAAATAGTGATGCCATAAAGTAAATGGGGGTAGATAAAAGTATAGTAAAACTTAATTCTGCATTTCAGTGGGAGGGCTGGGCAAATACGCTTAAACAGATAAAGCCTGGAATTAAGGTATTTATATATCTTATCCACTTGGTTGTCCCAGGAGTGAGTTGTACTGTGTAAATCAAGAACACAACTCGTCTATGTTGTCGTAGGTGAACACTCACTGAAACTCTCCTATACTACATCAAACACAAACCTTGGAGGAGAGAAAACCAGAATTCCCTGTGGTCCATCATTCTTTCCAATCTTCACCTCTGACGTTAAATATTGGCCAAGTCGAGGCGGTGTGAATGTTTCATTATTGATAGAACGCGCTGACGTATTCACCAGTTCAACACTGGTAATATTAACCAAGAAATATTCATCCAGTTCGGCCAGGTTGTCGTTGACGATGCTCAAAGGAATTGCCCCGACACTCCAGCCATTGTTGATAAGTATTGAAGTGGAGTTGACTACCACATCTGTACCCGATGCTGCAAGTCTCTCATCGGAAGATAGGGAATGCAGACTGCCATTTATGATAGTGAAGTGTAGACGAATTGTACCTGAACAAAATTGAAGGTTAAAATTGTCTTGTCTAGTGCACGTTCCTTTAACCTATACATCCGGGGCTTGAACAATTCCTATTCAATTAAAAAACGTCTTATTCTCTCGACTATAATATGTTTTTAATACTTGGTTCTCCAACCCAGAAATGCCAAATTTAGTTAAGTCTATCTGAGCACTAGCACAGCTGTGATTCATTATTGTAATACTGAGGAATTAAATGAGGAAGTCCGTAACTCAAATTAAGCCTTATGGTTTTTCTTGGGCTTCTCGTCACATGTATCTTTCATTAATGTACGTTTCGTTTGTAAATAATTCCTTTTTGTGGCAATTTAATAAATTGAATTGAATTGATTCGTGCAATATGCAGTTGTCTCATTAAAATTTTAGTCACATGTGAGAAGAGTGCTTCCAGTACGACATTCCTAAACATCAAAGGTTTTCTCTGGATTGCCTCTTGTAGTAGCAACACTGGACGAAAGAAATACCCCTTGTTGAACTTCTAGAGAAAACAGCACAGAACTGATAATGCTATCCAGTATATGTAATTAGTTCAGGTAGAAACACTGGAGCAATAAGGAATGCCTCTTACTGGACCTCTAGGGAGAACCGTTTAAACCTGATTGAGGTATCAATCAGTTCTAGTTTAGTTTTGGTTTCCTCCTGTAGTAACATTTGACCAATAAAGAATGGCGCTACTTTTACTAGACGTCTGGAAAGACAGATAGAACAATGCAGTATAAATAAAGAAAACAATACACCCATTTCATAAATGGCTGCCGATTAAAAATTCTTTTATGTGCATATAAATTGGCCCAACTAGCCTCGTTTCTGGGTAGAAATTCCTTTGAAATCTTAACATGAGTACGAGGCTAGTTGGGCCAATTTATATGCACATAAAAGAATTTTTAATCGGCAGCCATTTATGAAAAGGGTGTATTAGTTTAGGTTTCTTCCTGTAATAACATTGTACCAATGAGAGATGACGCTTACGGAGAACAGTTTAAAACTAATAGATCAATTTGGCATAAAGTTATTTTAATTTTATCTTACCAATATTTCCAAACAATCTTGCAACAGACAGTTCAACAATATTCTCGCTTTCTTGAACAGTAACCCTTCGTGAACTCTGCTGAAACTCGAACACTCCATGTGGTTCGTTACTAGCTGCTACTGTCACTGTGGCTGTCCCCATACGAGGGTTGATCTCAGCCGCGCCAGTTCTGGAAATACCCGATGTTATTGGGTTTCGGAGAATCACTTGAAACTGTTCGTCAATTTCTGATGTGTTGTCGGCTATCACTCGTGTTCGTATGTAGGTGGAGTTTTGACCCTACATAGATAAAGAAAATTTTGTCTATTATATAGTTCCGTACCATCCATAATACACCATACTATACCACACTATACCATACCATACCATACCATACCATACCATACCATACCAATCACATCAAACCACACTTAAAAAGCCACGTACACACCATCCCATCCCATCCCTACCACACTATACTATTCTACACTATACTACACCATACTCTACCATACAGCATCATACAGCATATCAAGGCCGGATTTTGGTAGAAATGGTGGGGGAAGTGGAAACAATTTAGGGGAGGTGCAGCGGTCTAGCTCGTCGCCCCCATTGGAAATTAGGGCTTAGAACGTAACCCCTCTCTGAATGCATGTACTGTACATATGTTTCAGTGTATTTATGAATTATGACTGTACGAGCCATCTGACTTTGCCCTTCGTTACATTACTACAAACTAAGTTTCTTGTGAAATATTGCATTAAAAGGGTACTTAGCCTGCGAACAGGCTCTCAAGCTGAATTGAGAGCCTGCATCGATGACTAATGAATTTGAATATCTGCGTCTCAAATCGTGACGCGAAATTCTCATTGGTCAGATGCTATTTCCGCTGAGCTCTATATATGTCAACTGCTGAAGCACTATGCATAAAAAACACATTAACTGATCAAATTGGTCTTGGCCGTCTTATCTCAAAGCACGAAATGTTCTGTTTTGAGAAAACAGTATTTAAAACATTTGAACTTTTGCTTGAATATCTTATATTTCGAAAAACAGTATAAACTGTACGGTCTAAACTTAGTTTGCACGGTCTAAATTTAGTTTGCACGAAAGTTGTAAACAACACCATATAAGGATAGACATTCCATATTTGGAAAAACGAACGTTACGGGGCAGATATTCAAATTCATTAGTCATCGATGCAGGCTCTCAATTCAGCTTGAGAGCCTGTTCGCAGGCTAAAGGGTACTTGCTCTAAGAAACACATAACAATTTCTTTCACTTTGATATATCATTTAACATTTCATACGGGAAGGTGCATGACGTTTCAGGGGAGGTGAAAAAATCTCAGGGGAGGTGCAAAACGATCTTGGGGAAGGTGCGCACCTCTCCACACCTCCCCTTAAAATCCGGCCATGCAGCATATTATTTCATACCACACCTCTTTAAAAACCACCGTTCCATATGTTTCATTAAAATCCTTTGTAACATTCTGTCCTTGAATAAGCCAATCAACAGTCACCATTCCCGCTGCAGGAGACGTCCTAACAACTTTAAGATGAACCATCTCTCCTTCCCTCACAATCACCACTTGGGACAGCATACTGAATCCAATATAGCCCGCAACCACGTCATTTGCCTGAATTATGATCGTTACATTGTTTCCAGTCCCCTGTGCCACCGATGCGCCAGCGGTGGGGTTGACCAGCTTCACAATTATAGTCTCATCACGCTCCGGGATGTTGTCACTGTTGATACTTATTGCAAGAGACTTCGTGCGCTCTCTGGGTTTGAAGCTCAACGTAACGTCACTTCCTTGAAAGTCCTCATTTACACGAGCTGTGCTTTTGGGAGATATTATAGCCATCACTGAAACCGCACCAGTTGCACCTAAACAAGACAAGTAATTAGTTTGAAATTAAAAAAAAAACAGAGTACAACTATCAAGATGTGTTTTAGTGGCACAGGCATTAGCGAGTGTGCCCTTTGAAATGAAACCAGGTTCGATTTCTGCAATATACATAATTCCACCTCAGTGACATGTGAAAAGAGTGCTTCCTGCTTGACTCTACCAAACACTGCAGATATTCTACGAGTACTTCGGTTTCTTGACCTATAGATAAGAATCCATCACTGGTCCTGTGTTACTACAGGAAGAAACTGTACTGTAGAGAAAAACTTGTGGTATTTGGTATAGTCAAACTGGAAGCACTCTTCTCATACAGTAAAGCCCCGCATAAAAGAACCGGTAGGTTAAGAACCACCAGCCTGACATTTGGGCAATTAAGCAACCAAAATACAAGTTTTAAAAAGTTTTTTTAAGTTTAGATATATGTAACGAGAACCATATTAGTGTCATAACAATAGTTCTATGCAACAACAGTCCCTATTAATGTGTAGAATAGAAAAAAGTATAGTGTGAAGTAAGATTATATAAGAACCACTTCAGCCTAAAGTCAAAATTCACTGGTTCTTTTATGCGGGGCTTTACTGTATGTGACTGGGGCAAAATTAACAGACAACTACATGTTGCAGAAATCCAACCTCGGTGACAGAGTTAAAAGGTCCATCCAGTTCCACTGTCACACCATCGCTGACCTATTCCAACTCTTACCTCCAAGCCTCCGAAACTCAAGATTCACGGCCAAACCCCCTGTTTCATTGACAACAACCTGACTTCGATTTCCTTGTGCAAACACTTTAAACAATCCATAAACATAATCATCATCTTCGATCGTTACATTAACACTAGACTGCGAACCCAAACGAGGTCTGGACGATACTCCAATTTCCAGAAGTTCAACATACTCCAGTACCACAGTAAAGTACTTTCTTAGTTCAGGTGTTACATCACCAAGAATGACGACATCAACTGAAGACGTATTTGATCCGTCAGCGATGATGACGCTCGCGTTAACCATCGGCATGTAATCTTGATTAGCAATGGCAGGCGACGGTGAAAAATCTTGAACAGTGCTAAAGAAAACATGAACAAGACTCGTGATGCTTTAAGACATCGTAGAAATAACAAAAAGGTCTCTAAACTAATTTAAACTTAACTAACGTCTACCACACCTACCACTATCAGATTTGTTCCAGTAGTAGTAACACTGGACTATTGGGGGTAACCGTTGTTTGAACCTCTAGGAAGAACTGCTTAGAACTGATAGATATATCCCGGTTGTATAAATGGAGTTAATTTAGGTTAGGTTTCCTCCTGTGGTGATACTGGCTCAATAAGGATGGTCTTACTATATCTATAGAGAGACCAGTTTAGACCTGACACAGCAATCAAGTACAAATAAAGTTAGTTTAGTCAGGTTCCCTCCTGTAGTAACTCTGGATCAATAAGAGATGGTTCTTATTGGACATCAAGGGAGAACAGTTTAGAACTGATATAGCAATCCAGTATAAATAAAGTTAGTTTAGTTTAGTCTAAGTTCTCTCCTGTCTCTCCTGTAGTAACACTGGATCATGTTGTTGAACGACAAGATTTTGCTAATGTAATATGCGAATTTTTCGTTGGTCGATTTCAATGTCAGATTAATATGAAAGTAGTTTTTCGTATCTCTGAGGATGGTTCTGAAATAGAATTGAAACACTGCACGTCTCTAAGACAAGCGTTAGTCGTCACGAAAATATTTCGTGCACTTAAATTGGATAAGACTCGCTACCAATCCCTGTTGACTCGATAGCTCAATAGGTAGAGCGGCGGTCTAGATACCCAAAGATGCGAGTTCAAATCCCGTTCGAGCCAACGAATTTTTCGTTGGTCGATTGCAGTGTCAGATTAATATGAAAGTAGTATGCGTACCTGTAGTAAACTTTCACATCACCATATGTGCCTCGTTTTCGAACAATTGGAATATGAGCAGTGGTATTTTGATCATTCTCATGTACGGTGTAACTGTCTTTACTGAACTCTATCACACCATGTGCATCATCGTTGAGATTAATTGTTACATTGGCTTGACTTCTGCCTGGATTCAGTTGAGCCTCACCTTGGCTTATTCTCAGAGTAACTGACAGTACCTTAAAGACACATAAATTGTTGAGGATTCGGGCAAACCTCGAAATTAGAAACATGAGCAAACCACGAATCCAAAGCTAGTGTAACGAAACAATGTTTTTAGTGGGTGAGCAAACATCAAATTTTTCGTGCATGATTTTCATGAATAGATATTTTTCCAACAGCAGTATTTCGTGGTTAGTTCAAAGCATGAACGGTCTATTAATACCTCGTTGACCTCTGGAACATTATCAGCCAGAATTACGATATCAAAACTCGTTCTGTTTTCTCCGGGAGGTATAAGACCACTGCCCTGAGTCTGTTGTACGTCATTAGTTGCCAGTCTCCCAGAGAGCGTCACCTCCCACTCAAACCTCGCAACACCCAGCGTACCATATTCACGTATTATATAAAGTTTAACCACTTGGCTACCGCTGGGCGGTTCATTAACGAAATTATCCAACGAAGAGACAGCATACCCTGCAAAAAAAATCAAATAAAGTTGAAGCAACCATTTGTTGCCCTCTATAAACGATGCCCTTACCAGGAAAAAAAAAACACCAAAAAAGTATGTCAGTTTAGACATCAAGTTAAATAAAGTCAGTTTAGGTTTCCTTCCGTAGAAACATGACCCAACTGAACCTCTAGGAATAACAGTTAAGAACTAATAGAACTATCCAGTATTGATAAAGTTAGTTTAGTTAACTAGAAGTAAGCTACTGCGTTGTATTACCTATTAATCCATAAGGATAGTCGTTTTTTTCAATGGTCACTTCACATTGTGAAGGAGAGCCAATGATCACGCTTCCATCACTTGACACAAGACGAACAATAAATGTCTCATTGAATTCAGGATCTTCATCATTGATAATAGATATTGGTACTGCTGCAGTCCGCTGACCATCTGCCAGTGTGACCTTGCTGGCGTTGATGCGGTAGTCTTTGGTTGGATCTGATGTTCTTGGTGTGACCACGATGTCCACAGTTATCTGTAATTAAAGAGAAGAATTTGGTTAGAAAATACAGCAATGCTTCTCATTTTAAGCTGCGGAATTCGCATAAAATTTTGCATAGTCATATTCTCATAGTAAAGTTAGTTCAGCTCAGATATTTAAAACACACTGTAGTTTTGCGAATGCTGCATATATCTGCTATACGTATCTTGACAAGATTTATAATCCTAAAAATATTAAGAACAAATGTAACTGGTACCTGACCAAATAAACCTCCACTTCGTACAATGTTCAAAAATGTTCCTCTGGTATCTTCTTTCACAGAAACTGTAGAAGATGACAGACGGATTATCCCACTGGCGTTGTCGTTCCGAAGAATTATCACCTGCATCAGTCTCTCTGCACCAATCCTTGGAGAACCGATTACTGAAAAGTTAAAGGAAAATATTATACGTCGCTTTCACGGGAAAATATTATACATCACCTGAAATCAGGGCAGAAATTGGGGGGGGGGGGTACGATATGTGAATAATGATCCCAATCTCTTCTCTTTACCACTGAAAGTTGTAGTGTTCCCTATCGAGAATCCTAACTCCACTAAAAAATGCCTGGTGGTTGAAAACACATTTGAACTTGCATTTACGCACATAGCAGCAGTTAAAGTTCAAAGTTCATTCTTTTTATTACAAAATAATTTCCACTTCAAAATCGAAGACATCGTGCTATTTTGTTGTTGTATTTGTGTGTATAGATAGTACAATGTTTTACGAAAATATTTTTTCAATCGAACTTAAAAAAAATAATGGCTTTTCCCCTCCTGAAATACGCGAAATAGCGTTCTTATGAATCAAAAATTCAAAATTTCGCGAGGGAGCATGCCCCGGACCTCCCTAGATTCCTTTGGTCTTTGGCCCTCCCATTCCAAATGCAATAAAAATCCCCCCCCCCCCC